GACAGGGAACACTATCCTAAAATTCCAGCCTTTTAGAGCTTCTGGATGACGAGTTAGCAATTTTCCTACCAAAACTTTAGTGCTAGGATGTGAGAACTGCGCACAGCCAGGAGCTAATTTTGAAACCTTTAGCTCATACTTGTACAGAGAATATCCCTGTAATGTTTCAGCTCTCTATCCTTTCTGGTTTCCGAGATCACTTTCCCGCCAAAAAATCTGCATATTTTTCTAAAGCGTCGTACCCGACACCCAGACATACGCGGACATTAATATTAAAACGGAAAGGTCGCAAACGGTGTAGGCACATACTGCTGAAATTTCAGCTTCCTAGCTTTTCTGATTCTCGAGTTGAAACTGGGTAACAAAAAGTGCGAACACACATACACGCAAACAGCTTCTTGCCGATATGCGTTTTTGCATTTGCATATGTGCAGAAACGCAAAACGCATTTGCATAAGTTCGCAGGAAAAAGGCCAATTCCAAAAAATTTTGCATATCCTAAACCATGACTCTCAGTGTAAGACCCTTGATTTTGCGATGCGTTACCACGTGCAAAGCTATTTCAAATGCTTGTTGTTTTGACTCAATCGGCTCAGCTGTTATTTTGTTGCTCTTATTAATGAGAGGAGCCATCATTCTGGGAGTGGTTTAATTGGTCTTTTCCAGTCCCAGAAGATGTCACCGTTGTGACAGCCACTGGCTTATTAGCGAGGCAGGCAAAGATGCTGCATAAAGCTTTAAGCTTCCCCCTGCCGACAAAGTAATACTCTGACGTCTCCGCTTTGACGGGTGCTACATGAACTTTGCATATTGAAAACAAACCTTGAGTTGCCTCCTTGCCATATCCGTCGGTTGTTTGGCGTTAAAATGATAGGCAATGCATTTTGCAACAAAAACATACAACTGTAACTTCTTCTTTCGCTCTTCTTCCTCAACCTCAGCCCTACAAAAATTATTACTTAATAGCTGTATAAGTTATTTTATTTTTCCAGATTTTTATTTTTCACTTGCTGCAAGACCAAAGTAAATGTGCCCGCTTGTTCATGTGCAACATTCCAAATTACAGTCATCTATCGAGAAATGATAGAACAGTGAGGAGGAAAAGACGACAGTCCTT